TGTTGTTTCTTTTGTCCTGTATCCCACTCCTACCCACACCTCCCCCAGGACACAGAAGACCTAGATCATTATGAAATGAAAGAGGAAGAGCCAGCTGAGGGCAAGAAATCTGAAGATGATGGCATTGGAAAAGAAAACTTGGCTATACTAGAGAAAATTAAAAAGAACCAGAGGCAAGATTACTTAAATGTACGTACCTTCTAGGGAGAGGCTGGGCCAAGTGGTTGGTGGGTACTAGCTAGAAGGTGGTAACATTGTATATCAGTCTGGACAGTGGATTCTTTTTCGGGGGTGAGTTGTGTGCCTAATCCTTGCCTAAATCCTGAGCAAGCTGCCAGACTGCCTTTATGATCTACTTTGTGTGTTTGCAAAGCACATGACTGTAAGATGTTTCTTTCTTCCCTTCCTTACAGGGGGCAGTGTCTGGCTCGGTGCAGGCCACTGACCGGCTGATGAAGGAGCTCAGGGATATATACCGATCACAGAGTTTCAAAGGTGGTGAGTTTGCCTCAGGGAGCAGCCTGAACAGGAGCTTCTCATAAAGGATATGAGGTTTGGGATACACGAATGCTTATGAACTTCTCAGGCCAGAATGGAGCTCCTCAAGCCAGTGGCTTCGATTGGCTGCATGTCCATGGGATGAACCTGGAGCTTTTGATATTTTTCCTCTCAGCCTGGACAGATCTGCAACCTGGACCATCCTAGTAACACCTGTCTTCTTCCCACCTTCCAGGAAACTATGCAGTCGAACTCGTGAATGACAGTCTGTATGATTGGAATGTCAAACTCCTCAAGTGAGTTGGGGACTCTGGGATTGGAAAGGAAGTTAAGGCATAGTATGTGTGGAGCCACTGTGCTGGGAGTCTCTAGGGCAGTCCCAGGAGCAGGTGTGGGCATTGGTTTTTCCCTCCGCTGCTAGCCTGGGGAAGTGGGAGCTATCATGAGGCTCCTGAGCTGGGACAAGGAGTCTGAGCCCAGACTCATTGCTTCATAGGGTTGACCAGGACAGCGCTTTGCACAACGATCTCCAGATCCTCAAAGAGAAAGAAGGCGCAGACTTCATCCTACTTAACTTTTCCTTTAAAGTAAGACTGTTTCCCTTCCAGCCCCTCCCTCCTTGGCCTGCGCCTCCTCCTTTACCTTACAGTCCCATGGCAGATACTGGCCTCTCCTCTCTGATCATTGCCTTTGTCTCTCTCACAGGATAATTTTCCATTTGACCCACCGTTTGTCAGGGTTGTGTCTCCAGTCCTCTCCGGAGGGTGAGTGGCTGAGAGCAGCTCCTGTTACAGGTGAGAAAGGGGTGTGGAGCTTTTGCCAGGCCCGACTGACTAACCTTTCTTCCACAGGTATGTCCTGGGAGGAGGTGCCATCTGCATGGAACTTCTCACCAAACAGGTGAGCCTGTCCCTTGCTCTTGGTCAAGCTGGCCAGAGCAGGGCTCAGCTGAACTTTATCACACACCCCTGTGGGTTGGGTGATGGGCTTAATGTGGCCCTTTCATTCTGCCAGGCAGAGCCTGAACCCACTGACCTAGGCAAACAGGCGAAGGCTGCTGCAGGAGTGAAGGACAGGGGCCCATGCATAGGCACAGCTCCTTGCTGGAGAAAAGTGTAAGGTTTCTGGAACTCTCTTGACTTGTTGGCTTTGTCTCCGTTTCCCAGGGCTGGAGCAGTGCCTACTCAATAGAGTCCGTGATCATGCAGATCAGTGCCACACTGGTGAAGGGAAAAGCTCGTGTGCAGTTTGGAGCCAACAAAGTAAGGAGCTGGGGCCTGGGGCTGCTGCGACTGTTTAGAGCCAGGTACAGTTTGAGCCACTAGCAAGCCAAGGCTGCCTTCTCTGAGGGGCCAAGAGGATAAAGCCCTCTGGAGGGGTGGGCTTGGATGAGTGGGCCTGGAACACCCACAGTGGGAACAGGAGCAGGGCCTTGGCCGGAGGGGCTTCCTAAGACTTGGGGGAGGATGCAGTTCTGGACAGGGAAGGCTGGAGGATTACACTCCAAAGGGACCTCTGGGTGGTGGGTATTTAGTATGTTAACAGAGCACAAGTTTGGGAGCTGGGACTCCTAGGTCTCTGGGTGGCAGCCTATGGAAGGTGGTGGCAGTAAAGCCACAGCTGGCCATGGCCTGATTTGGTGACTTCCTCTCCTCAGTCTCAATACAGTCTGACAAGAGCACAGCAGTCCTACAAGTCCTTGGTGCAGATCCACGAAAAAAATGGTGAGGCTGGATCCAGGACTCGAGATTCGGACACTTGGAAGGCCTGAGGTTTTCACTTCCGGCCAAATAGCAAGAACCCCTTCTTTTGGTTTCTGAGCCTTACCACCTATTAACACAGCACCTGCCCCTGTTCTCCAGAGAAGGGCTGGAGGTGGCTACCTCCACAACCTCTTCTCCCAGAAAAGCACCAATGGTCACACCACCTGTGGACTTGGTGCTGCCCCTCTTCCTGAGCACCCTTTGAGAAAGCTCATCTCACTCTTCTGTCATCTCAGGTTGGGCACATCCTTCTCCCCTTCCTTATGAGCTCCAGGTAGGCAGTGCCTCAGTTTCCCAGACCTCTCCCCCTGCACTGGAAGCCCTTCCTGGGATCTGTTCACCTATAATCCTGGAGGTGTCTTCAGTGATCAGGGCTGGGAGCAAGGACTTTGGCCTCCACCTCACTGTTTTGTTGGGTTTCTTTTCAGGCTGGTACACACCCCCAAAGGAAGATGGCTAACCCCGGAGTGTCGTCCCCTTCCTCCTTCCCCAGGCACCACTGGACCAATTACCTTTGAATGCTGTATTTGGATCTTACGCTGCCTCTGTGGTTCCCTCCCTCATTTTTCCTGGACGTGATAGCTCTGCCTATTGCAGGACAATGATGGCTATTCTAAACGCTAAGGAAAAAAACCAAACACTGAACTGTTTCAAGTACTCAAGACTGACTTACAGACCAACCAACCACCTGGCCGGAACCCTTGCTAGCAGGCATTCTTATAAAAGAAACTTTCGAGCCTCCTTATATTGCTGGAAACTCAGCTGTGCTCCAGACTAGAGTCTCCTTACCTATGCTATGGATTTTTAATTTATTTTCTCTTATTTCATGTACACTGCTTTTTTTGGTTACAGTGTATGATGGATGTGTATGAAAAAATGTATCTTTGGGAAAACAATTACAGTTTGTTAATTTGAAGATGCTGGTCTTGACTCATCTTTATTTTTATTCCCACATCCCACCCCACCCCCATCCCCTGAACTACTTGGGTAGTGGGGGAGGGGTGGAGATGAGAGGCCACACTTCACTGCTAAAGCCAGAGAGCAGTGGAGCTGAAGCATTTGCCTGGCCCTCAGGTTTCTTCTGAAGGCCTCTGGAGTGACCAGCACTCGCCCCCTTGGCACGCAGAGCCTGGTCAGCTGAACCACGGTGTAGCAGGCTGAAATGATCACCTTAATTTGTAGGACTTTTCTAGTCACATGTTTTCAAATTTCCACGAAAAAGAAAAATGGGAAAGGAGGCATAAGAGGCTTTTTCCAATTCAGAATTGCTTTTGAATGAATTGATTGGGGATGGGGGCCCAGTCTCAAGTGTGTACGTGGTCTCTGGTCTCAACAGTACACTATGTATGCTACAATTCCACTGCTTGTTGATCCCTCCCTGAAAATGGCTTCTAGCTAGCACTGAAGGGTGTTCACTGGTGGCTTCTTTGCTCACCCTCCCCATCTCTTCACTTGGTCTCATGAGAGAAAACAGGCATAGCTCTGAAGTTGTTGGACTTGAAGAACTGTGGATTCTTTCAAGCTACCCCCACAAGATGGGTCCTCTGGGAAGGTTAGCTTTAAGGGGTATTTGTGTACACCTGTGTCCTCACCCCAGGCTCTGGGAACTGCTGGGGAGGGGAGAGTGAGGCAGGAGGTCTGCTGAGCTAGAACTGTCAGTGTTGTCTGTACATGCTGTTTAGAAGTATGAGCACGATGTCTGCGTGTGACACGTGCTGCCAGCCACCCCGGTCAGTGAGCTTGCTCTGGGGTTGAGACAGGCTCTTAGGGACAGACTGCCTACAGACTGGATGATGGCTGCAGTGACAAGCCAGGGATGGCTAAGTGAAGACACTAGTCTTAGAAAGCCCAGAACAGACAGCTGCCTGGAAACCTGTAGGATGTCAGTTCTGTAATTCTTTGTTTTGACATTGGCCGTTTCCCCACCATTTTCCTTCAAGGGATTAATGCCTTGCTGCTTCAGGTGGATGAAGAGTTCAACAGTCCCCCTCAGTGCTGCTCTAACTACCCACACCCACCTGATAGGGGTGCTAAAAAAGGCTGAAGTTTAGATAAAGTGGGGGCCCCAGGGGAAAACTCATTCCATAGAGCTGAAATCCGGTTTTCAAGGCTAATCTGGCTTTCTTCTGAACTTATCACCAGCCCTGGCTGAAATGTAGATTGTGTTTTTAGTATTGTGTACTGTGAGCTGTCCTCTGTATAATGTATTTTGTAATGTATTTTTCTCATCTACCAAAGGATGAAACAAATAAAATTATTTAAATAGTTTGGCTCTAATCAAATTTTTTAAAGAAATAATGGGGTCCCCTGCCATAAGGGTTAAGTGCCAGCTCCTGTGAGTTGTACACCAACTCAGAGAACCCTCCACTTTTCTTGTCAAACCTAGCATTCCCTTTTATGACCTTAAGTTTAGGGTTCTAATGAAGTTACAAATTGTAAAAGAATCAAAGCCATATCATCCTCAGTCAATTTCCTTCTAAGAAGGCAAGGAGAAATGAAAAGCCCTTTCAGGTCTGGTACCCTACACCTCAAGTGTGACCGAGTCTATGTCCCGGGCAGGGTTTGCTCAGTGAGCCCACGCGGGCGCTGAGGCCGAGGCACATGGCAGCTTCTCGCTGCCTCGGTAGGAGAGGGCAGGCTGGGGAGGGGCGGCTAGATAGAAATCAATCACCCCAAACTCGTGAAGCATGCCAACATTTATTCACCATGGTGATGGCTCACTGGTTAAATGCTCCCCACCTGATTCTACAACGGAATGCCAAGAAAATTCTCCAGAATCTGTTAGGGCAATTTATATCATGTTCTGGGGGCACAAAAAAGAGACAGGAAAAAATACATGGCCACCTGAAGCTTTCAATGTAAGCTTCCTATGCTTGGGTCAAATGTCCATGCTGAGTGGGGAACTGAAGACACATGACAAATTGAGACTTCACTTTTCTGAGAGGCAAGCTGAGGGTAAAGGCAAATGGGAATCAAATCCATCCTGGGCACCAGTGTGGCCTTTTTCACCCACAAAGCCTCTAGAATGGAAGGGGGACGACAGGTCAGGGCAGGCAGAATCTGAACAGGAGAGGGAACGAACTGATGCTAGCCACGTTATTTACACTCATCAAACTTCAGGATGTGTGACTGCAAGAGAAAGACAAAGTCTCAGTGGGAAGGACCACCCCTAGCCAGTCCACCCAACCCCTGGGATAACCAGTTTATTTTGTGAGGGAATGGCCAGATCCAGGTCTCAGCAGTGGCCTGCAGCTGAGACCCCTAGGGTGGTAGGGGAGGGAGAAGGGCTGAGTTAGATTCAGGGGCAGTTACCTCCAAGTTCAAAGCACCAGTGATTTTCCCTTTGAGGATGTGATGGATCACCTGATATGAACTCAGAATGCCTATAAAACAAAACACAACAACAAAACCTTGGTGGCACTGGGTCAGGCAGGAGGAGCGAGGGAGGGAAGGGAGAGGCAGGGGCTGCAGGAAACAGCTCGGCTGCAGAGCAGCTCCTCCAAGTCTCTACCGGTTAGTGCTGACTCTCTGCTGCCAGGATAAAATGAGACAGACGCTTGAAAGGCGGGCGTGGGGAGGGTGCACTGAGAACATACAAAAGGAGGGGACAGTATTATTGTTACTAGAATAATTACATGAATCTGGGATTTTACATTCTCTAATGGGAAAGTCTGGGGACAGAAAACCTATCCACTCTGCTCTGAGCACCTGGGCTGGAGAGAGAGGTGAGAAGCAGATGCTTTCACTGTGATGAGTGGCATTCTTACACGCTGCAACAAGGCAGGGCAGGCCGCTGGTCAGAATGTCTTGCCTTACTCAGCTCCTGCCGTCCTGCCAACCTCCAAATTCTGGGACGGTGTGTATGCATGAAACTGGCCATATTAAAAGTCAGGCTTCAGTCTGGCCAGTGTGGCTCAGTGGTTGAGCATTGACTCATGCACCAAGAGGTTGCCAGTTCAATTCCCGGTCAGGACACATGCCCAGATTGTGGGCCCGATCCCCAGTGGGGGGATGCAGGAGGCAGCCAATCGATGTTCTCTCTCATCAATATTTCTCTCTCTCTCTCTCACTTCCTCTCTCTCTAAAATAAAAAAAAGGCTGAAAGGCCTGACTTTTAAAAAATAATAGTAATCATAAAAGTCAGACTTCACTGCCATCCCCAGCTATGCCATTTTCTTGCTATGAGAGATAAGGAAGTTCCTTTCACTTTTCTGAGCCTTACTTTCCTCATCCATATAGGGAGGGTTGTACACCCAGCCTGCCTGACCTCTCAGGGACACTCTAAGTCTACAAGGAAGCTCAGCACACCCCCGTGTCTGGGTTGGGCACTCTGGCCCCTGTGACAGGCTGGGAGCTGCTCTTTGGAGCAGGTGGAGCCTCTACTCTACGCCACCCCCTAACACCTAAGCAGTCAGGTGTAGCCTGCCTCAAACTCCAGAGCCCTGGACATGGATCTGTCACCCTCCAGGCTGGGCAGCAAGGGCCTTCTTCATGCAATGACCCAAGACAACCTGTGGGTGGTGTCCCTGACCACTGGACACCATGCCCATCAGCATCCCAGGGAGCCTTGGGCCTGCACTTTAAGGGGTGTGTTTGTGTGTCTGTCTGTCTTCACCTCTGCTTCTCTTCCTGATTCCCCAAAGCATTCCTTCATTCTTCGTCCTTCCACAGAGCCCCTCAGCTTTCATCTGTTTTACGTACCCTGAGTTTGGCTTAAGATTTCATTGGGAAAGAATTCTCTTATAGAAGAAAACTAGAATTTGAAACCAAATGGTAGGGTTTAGAGCACTGGACTCGGGTTCCTTTACATGCGCTGTTCCTTTAGACACCAAGCAGCTCTGGCAGAAGCAGGGGTGCAAAGCCTGCCCTCCCTTTCCCGGCACCCAGAGAGCTCAGTCTTTGGACAGTCAGTACCTGTTGGGGCCAACAGAGCCCAGGTGTGAAAACGAATACTCAAGAGGCAGCTTTGTAAGAGGTGGATGCCAAAAACTGGGGTGAGATCAAATGACTAGAGGCTTAAGGGTATCCTGAGGGCCTTAGCTGTCCCCACGCCATCCCCCACTGAGATCCTGAAGTCGGGCACAGCATGGCTCATCCCTGACCCTCAGGAGGCAGGTCGGATGACATCTTACCTTTCTCCAGCATGAATGGCTGAGTCAGAGGGGGGATGGTCCAGAAGTCATCACTATCCAGGCTGCGCAGGGACTGTACCGGGATGGTGGCCGACTGGCCAAAATCGATGAACATGACCACAGCCCAGGTATCCACCCTGTCCACTACCCAGCACCTGGCCGGAGGGAGAGAGAGTGGTTCCACCTGGTGTCATGCACAGTGGTCCTCGACAAAGGGGGCTTAAAGGTCAAAGCTAACAGGAGCAGAGTTTCCTTTGCTTTTCCCCTTCCTTGGGCATGGAAGTGATAATAATCAGAGATCCCAAGAGAGGAAGCAGCAGGAAAGAAACCAGAGTCCAAAGGAGAGAGAAAGGAAGGAGTGGCTCTGTCTGTGGCCTCTTATTCCATCCAGCCTGACCCCGAACACACCTGTTCCAGGCCTTCCCGTACTCGCCCAGGTGGTACTGTGCCAGACAGCGAGTCCCACGCCGCACGGCCGAGTCCTGCAGGTAGGGCTGCTGCTCCTCAGCCTCGGCCAGGGAGCTGAACAGCAGCTGCATGTTCTGGTGCAGAGTCTGAAAGGGGCACACACGCAACGGGCCTCACTGCCTGCATCACCTCACACATCTGTCCCTGCAGATGTCACCTGTTACACCAGCACCACTAATCTGCCCCGAGGACCAGCGGCATGAAGCACAACAAAGAAAGACACAGAACCTAGGGATCAGACTGCAGTCGTCTGGATCCCACCCGACTGGCCCATCACCACGTGCACCCCAGGAAGGCTCTGTGAGAAGGCATCAAGCCCAAGAGGCCCACCAACAAGCCCATACCTCCGTGATGTGCATGGCCCAGAAGAAGGGCGTCTGGGGGACAATACTGGTCACCAGCAGCCCCACCTCCCCGCCAGCGTTGCAGATGGTGGCCAGCCAGCTCAGGTCTCGGAAGCATTCCCTCAGAAGCAGCACCAGAAAGGATCCTCTGGGGAAGAGCAGTGGGAAGAAAGTGAATGAGTGAACAATTATTTTTTTATTTTTTTGTGGTACGTGCCCCTAGCAGGAACCAAACCAGGGACTCTGGTCCGCAGGCCAACACTCAACCGCTGAGCCAAACTGGCCAGGGCATGAGTGAACAACGTGACTGACACTTGTGCTAGATGATGCTGGGCAGGTTCAGGCAAGAGTCACCCTGAGCAGGAGGATTAGGCCCACCTCCTCCAGGGAGGGGATGGGAACATAATGCAGAGCAAAGGCAGCACCATGCCAGGGGGCGGGCCGGGAGTTTGGGAAGGGGATCCTAGAGGGACACAAAAACACACTAGGACTCCACAGACCGAGAGGGCCAGAGCCCTCACTGGACTGACTCTGAGGCCACCAGCCACTTCAGGAACCTCTACATGATGCAAGCGTGAGCTGTCCAAAACCCAGGACACAGTTTCAATCCCCAAATCACTCCTCCATGTTTAATATATGCCAAACTTTCTCCTCCCACTCCACTCACTTGATCACCTAAGTCACACATGCTCAGCAAGTCACACGTGCTCAGCAACCCAAACCACCATCCTATAGCATTTCCAGTCAGAAAGATTATTTGGCATCTTTGACACTAAGAATAATGCCCTCTATTAAAGCAGAAGGTGTGGTAGACACAATGATCTCATGGTATCCAGGGTGGGGGAGAGTCACAGGCCTTCAATGTCTAAAAATGGAAACAGATTTTCTTAGGTCACTGTGGGTCTGGTGCAGGAGTTCCTGAGAACTTTTTGCCCACTCTGGTACCACCCCTACCTGCACCCTCCAGGGAATGAATGATATTCGCAGTCGCCATTGGCTCTGGTGGGCCCTGTACACCTCCACTAACCTCATTTCCATGGGAACTGCAAAGAAGGTTGTCCTCGGTTTCTCTGTCTCTTGGGAGTCACCAGCAGCTTTAGGAATGAGCTGTGTACAAGCTGGGAAGCAGAAGATTGAGTCTTGGAGGCACCAGAGCTACCCCTGCTCCCCCAGATGCCCTGGCCCCACCCTCAGAGGCAGGACAGGATGGGCCATCCTTCCATGTCTCAGCCTCTAGATCTTCAGCTGGGTGGGGAGGGTGTGCTGCCCGATATAATCAAGAAAGCATCCTAGGGGAATAAAAAGGGTATTTCCTACACTGAGAGGTCAACAGGGGACAAAGCTGAAAGGAAGGCTGGAAGAATTAAGTCAGGAGTCGCGAAGACACGTCCTGGGAATGCAGGATCTCACCAGTGATTTTGGCAAATCCTTGACGAGAAGGCCTCTCCAAAACCTAGGGAGAAAAAGAAACGTTATCACTCAGGCATGGCAAGTATTTACTGTACTGATTTATATGTTGAGAGGACTTGGAGACAGTGTCAACAGCCCCTGCACTGCCACAGGCTTTAGCTGAGTTTTGAGACACCCGCTCACTGTCTCCTTTCACGCTGGGATCCTGAGGGAACCATGAAAAGACCTTCAGAAACAGGAGAGGGAGGGAGGGAGGTGCTCCAGCAGGACTTACAGTCCCAGAAGTCCAGACTGCATAGCCTGGGAGGTCCCTGCTGACCTTCTTGGGGGGAGGAAGAAATGAGGTAGAGATGGTTATGCTGGAAGCCGGGTTATGTGGAGGCAGAAAGGTCTGGGTGCCCTGAGCCTCACTACAACCCTGCAGCTCCCCAACTCATGCTGCTCCCCTCACCACTGTTCTCACCTGGAAAACACTCAACCCTGGTTAAAGCCATGTCTCTGCCTGCCCAGCTTCTGGCCACTGACTGCTGCCAGAGTACACCTATAGCCATTACCTACCTAGTGGCTCAGGCCAAATTCATCTCTCTCCCTAGCTCCCTACATCAAACTCATTAGCAAGCCAAGCCAGCTCTACCTCCAAAACACGCCAGAACCATGTACTGCTCCCTATATAAATCTGCCACCCGATGCAAGCTGTCGCCACCTCTTACCAGGACCATAGCAACAGTGTCCAAAGACTTCCTGTTGCTACACTGGCCCCCATAATCCAATTGCCGCACAGCAGATATGATTTTACAAATATCTAATCACATTACTCCTCTGATTAAAACCTTCCAACATCTTCCCATTGTTCCTGAAAATAAAATCCAGTCTCTACTTTGGCTCACAGAGGCTCCCATGATATGAGCTGCAGGTTTGTCCCCCCCCCCCCCACCCGGTCGGGGTCATGCAGGGGGCAGCCAATCAACGTGTCTCTCTCACATCAATATTTTTCTCTCTCCCTCTTTCCCTCCCTCCCTTCCACTTTACCTAAAATCAATGGGAAAATATCCTCAGGTAAGGATTAACAACAACAAAAATGGGCAAAAGATCTCAATAGATACTTCTCCAAAGAGGACATACAGATAGCTAATAGACATATGAAAAGATGCTCATCATCACTAATCATCAGAGAAATGCAAATTAAAACCACAAAGAAAATGAGATAAACCAAAGAACTTATATGCATGTATGTGTAACCAATGGACAGAGACAACAATGCTTGGTGAGGGGCATGATAGGGAGGAAGGTGTCTGGGGGAGGGGGAAAGGAGAAACATCTGTAACAAAAATAAATTACTAAAAAAAATAAGATAAAATGAAGGGAGTAGACCAAAAAAACAAAAACAAAAACCACAAAGAGAGCCCTGGCCGGTTTGGCTCAGCGGTTGGAGCGTCAGCCCGCGGTCCAGAGAGTCACGGGTTCTGTTTCTGCTAAGGGTACGTATATCGGTTGCAGTTTGTCCCCGGCCCTGGTTGGGGTCATGTGGGTGGCAACCACTCGATGTGTCTCTCTCACAATGATATTTCTCTCTCTCTATTTCTCCCTCTCTCCCTCTTGCTGTGTCTGAAGATGAAGGCAAAAATGTCCTCAATTGAGGGGAACACACACACACACACACACACACGGAGCTATCACCTCACACCTGCCAGAAAGACTATCATCAATAAATCAACAAACAAGTGTTGGCAAGGACATGGAGAAAAGGGAACCGTCTTTTATTGGTGAGAATGCAGACTGGTACAGCCACTGGGGGAAACAGTATGGAGTTTACTCAAAAAATGAAAAATGAAAGTGCCTTATGACCCAGCGATTCCACTTCTGGGAATATATCCAAAGAAACCCAAAACACTGATTCGAAAGAATATATGCACCCCTATGTTCATTGCAGCATTATTTATAATAGCCAAGATTTGGAAGCAACCCAAGTGCCCATCAGTAGATGAGTGGATAAAAAAGCTGTGGAACATTTATACAATGGAATACTACTCGGCCATAATAAATAAGGAAATCTTACCATATGAGACAGCGTGAATGGACCTGGACAGTATTATGCTAAGTGAAATAAGCCAGTCAAGAAAGACAAATACCATATGATTTCACATACACATGGGAACTATAGAACAAAATAAGTGAACAAACGAAACAGAAACAGACTCATAGATACAGAGAACAGACTGATGGTTGCCAGAGAGGAGGGGTATTGAGGGCTGGGTGAAATCGGTGAAGGGATTAAGCAATAAAACAAACCATAGACACAACAACAATATGGTGATTATGAGAGTGAAAGGGGGGTGGGGTAAGTAGAAGAGGGTAATGGGATAAATGGTGACTGAAGGAGACATACTTGACTTTGGGTGATGAATACACAATACAGTATAAAGATGACGTAGTCTAGACTTGTACACTTGAAACCTATATAATTTTACTAACCAATGTTAACCCAATATACTCAATAAAAATTTCTTTAAAAAAGAGAAAGAATGGATTTGTGGTTGGACATCATCTTCCTGCAGAATTCAATGACACTACCCTATTCCATACCCTTCAACGTGGATTCTTATTCTGGAGCTTTACCCCAGAATTCTAAAATAATTCTATAATATCCTTGGTGTCAGTTTTCATTTTTCCATTCAATATTGTGGGCACTCGTTGGCTGCTTTCAATCTGAAAATTCATATCCTTTCCTCCTGGGAGAGTTTGTTACACCATTTGATACCTTCTCCTGCATGTTGACCTGAACTCTTCATGGATGTATATGTTGCACCACTGAAGCTGATTCTCTAATTTTACCTTTTCTCCTCTTGAAAAAAAACTTACAACAAAATATTCCAAATGATAAATCCTCTCCCCAAAAAGCAATGATAAAACTTGACACAATTGTGAAAAACAACCTTTCAGGCCCTGGCCAGGTGGCTCAGTTCATTAGAGCATCATCCCGTACACAGAAAGGTTGTGTGTTCGATTCCTGGTCTGGGCACATACCTAGGCTGTGGGAATTTCTGAACTGAAAAATGCAGTAACTGAAGTAAAAAGCCCCTTAGATAAATTCAACAACAGAATTGAAGGAGAAAAGAAATAATCAATGACTGGAAGAGAGAACAATAGAAATTAGACAATTTGAAAAACAGAAAATAGATTTTAAAAAAAACCAACAGATTATAAAAGCTGAGTGAACCCAGAACAGAATAAATTCAAAGAAATCCCTGGCAAGACACTTCATAATTAAACTACTGAAAACTAAGGACCAAGAAGAAGTTTCTAAAACAGCCAGAGAAAAGCAACACCTTTTACCTATAAAGGAAAATTTGAATGACAGGATTTCTCATCAGAAACTATAAAGGGCAGAAAGAAATGGCACAATTATTTTTCAATTACTAAAAGAAAATAACCTTATTGCTAATGAAAATATCCTTTGGGAATGAAGGGAAAATAAGATATTTTCAAATGAAGGAAGGCTAAGAATTTGTCACCAGCAGACCTACCCTAAAAAAAAAAAAAAAAAAAAAATAGCCAAAGGAAGTTCTCTAAATAAAAAGAAAATGATTAAAAAACAAAAACCCTGAAACATCAAGGAGAACACAGTAAGAAAAAGTATGGGTAAATACAATAGGCTTTCCTCCTCCTCTTGAGTTTTCTAAATTATGTTTGACAGTTGAAACAAAAATTCTAACACCATCTGATGTGGTTCCAAATGAACACAGAGGAAATATTTAATTTTTTTTCCTTATTGATTTTAGAGATGGGAAAGAAGAGGGACACAGTAATATTGATGAGCGAGAACATCAACTGGCCGCCTCCTGCAGGCCCCTCACTGGGGATTTGGCCCACAACCTGGGAATGTGCCCTGACTGGGAATTGAACTGGCAACCTCTTGGTGCATGGGTCAACACTCAACCACTGAGCCACACCAGCCGGGCATCACAGAGGAAATATTTAAGACAATTACATTATAAACAGGAAAGGGTAAAAGGAGGAAAGATTTCTATACTTCACTCAAACTAGTAAAATTGACAGGTGTAGATTATATATATACAACATAACATCTAGAGCAACCACTTAAAAAGGTATACAAAGAGAGACACTTAAAATATTACAGAAAAACTGAAGTAAACTATAGGAAAACAGAGGAACAAAAAAACAGAACGGAAAACAAAAAATAAGATGGCAAACTTGAGCCCTAACAAACCAATAATTATATTAAATATAAACATGCCAAATTAAAGACACAGATTTGTCATTAAAAAACATGACCATGGTGGGGGGGCAGAGATTAACCAAAGAACTTATATGCATATATGCATAACCCATGGACACAGACAATAATAGTGCAGTGAAGGCCTGAGGCAGGGAGAGGGGAGGCAGGAGAGGGGTAGAGGTAGGTTACTGTGGGGGTGGGGGTGGGGGGGACATCTGTAATGGTTTCAACAATAAAGATAAATTTAAAAAAAAAAAAAGAATTGATCACGTACCAAAACAAAAAAGTGATCACGAACCAAAGAACAAAAACAAAAACATGACCCGCCCTCACTAGTTTAGCTCAGCAATTAGAGCATAGGCCTGCAGACCAAAGAGTTGCAGGTTCGGTTCTGGTCAAGGGCACATACTTCTGTTGCAGTTTGGTCCCCAGCCCTGACTGGGTTGTGTGAGAAGCAACCAGTTGATGTGTCTCTCTCACATCAATGTTTCTCTCTCTCTCTCTCTCTCTCTCTCTCTCTCTCTCTCTCTCCCTCCCTCCCTCCCTCCCTCCCTTCCTCCCTCCTTCCCTCCCTTCCTTCCACTCTATCTGAAGACAAATGAAAAAACATCCTTGGGTGAGGATTAAAAAGGAAACATGACCCAACTATATATGCTGTCTACAAAAAGCTCACTTCAAATATAATGATATAGGCAGGTTTAAAGTAGAAAGATATATCATGGAAACATTAATAAAAGGAAAGCAGAAGTGACTACATTAATATCAGATAAAACAGACCTCAGACCAAAGAAAAAAGGGATATTATA